GTAAAGTCTGGGAAGGAGTCCAGGGAGGTTAGCTCCAGGAAAGGGATGAGGTCATGAGAGGAAGAACTGGAATTTTCTAGAGAAAGGTTTCAGCTGAGACTGGCATGCTCAAGAACTTCTGTAGACCAGTGGATTTTCGTACAGGTCTATGTCAGTGCCAGTATATTCAATGGTGCATCTCCGAAAAAGCCCTCACCTCTTTTAACAGAGGCATGACTGTCTGGAGGAATCTAGAACTGAACAACAGAACCTACTCTCCCTGAAGACTTATGAGGGCCTGGACCAATGGCTGAGGCTGCCCTGAGGACAAGGATGGGTAAAACCAGGAGTCAATCAGTTTAAGAATTGGCTGTCAGATTGAGGCAAAAAAAAAAAAAAAAAAAAAAAAAAATCCAGGTGAGACTTCAGGATGCTGCAGGAAGCATGGCGGTATGCTAATCATGATCTGGCAAATGGATGGGAAGAAAATTAAGACAGAAGGGGTTGACAGAGGAGGAGGTTCAGGGAAGTAAGAGACTGAATAAACAAATGGACAATGACCAAATCATATATGAAGGCTGCACAATCTGTAGGCTCCTGCCCAGGAAACTAACCCCTTTTCTGCAATAACCAGTCCAGGAAGCCAGTCTGCTGTAAGTTAGACTTGTAGGAAGTCAGATTGCTATCTCTAGTAACAATCCAGGAAGCTAAACAATAATTTCTGTAACAACTGGCCCCAAATGGCCAGGACTTGACTAATGACCAACAGCTTCCTTAATTTCTATTCCTACTTCTAATTCAGGATCAACCAGAAAAAGTCAAGTATGACCCTCTAACCAATTACATAGGATGTCACTTCCAGTTATCCCACCTACAGCCTACCCAAGCCAATAGCCTCTAATCAGAGCACACCTAGAGCCTTCTTTCTTCCACTATGAAGTTTTCCCATTTCTCTGCCTGCCTTTGAGTCTCTGCAAAACACAATTGATGGTGGGTGACTCCCTTGCTGCAGCAAGCTCTAACTAAATAGCCTCTGCTCTCGTGTGATTTGTCTTTGTATATTTCCATAGAACCAAAGACTAAAGTCAGGATAGATTCAGGATAAGTGAAGAAGTGAGAGGAAAAGGAAGTAGGTTGTGAATAGAGAAGAGGAATTTCTAGACTCTTTGGAGGAACAAGGAGATAATTAACATTTGCATATTATTTTTAATGAGTTTCCTGATGCTTTGCCATGGGTTTATACAAGTTACCGAATCCTCATAAACTTTGTGAGACAGATTTTTTAAATCTCTCATTTTTAAGGAAAATGAAATTAAAAGAGCTTTCATAACCCATTAAGGGTGAAGAGGTGTCCCATGCCGAATTTATTCTTTTCACTATGTCAGGTCACTCTCCCAGACCCTCTCTGACATCCCCATTTTATTATTTCGTTTTCACACTGCTGACCAAGACATACCTGAAACTGGGGGGAAAAAAAAGGGTTTAATTGGACTTACAGTTCCACTGGGCTGAGGAGGCCTCAGAACCATGGCAGGAGGTGAAAAGTTGCAGTGGCAAGAGAAAATTAGAGAGAAGCAAAAGCAGAAACTCCTGATAAATCCATCAGATCTCGTGAGACTTATTCCCTAACAGAATAGCACGGGAAAGATGGGCCCATGATTCAATGACCTCCTTCCGGGTCCTTCCCACAACATGTGGGGATTCTGGGAGATATAATACAAGTTGAGGTCTGAATGGCGCACAGCCAAACCATATCACCCATTGTAGTTATGACCACCGTAAATTGCCGCAACAGTCTCATGACTCTACTGTAACTCCTTGTGCAGTCTCTTGGTGCTCTGCTGATTGGAGATGAATGAAATAATTCAATTCATATCTTCCCCAAGCTTACAGTTAGTAAGTAGTAGAAGCAAGATTTGAATTCAGATCTTCCTAATTTCAAAGTCCATGGTTGTTAACTGTGTTAGGCTAGCTTGGAAGTGGAGTTGCTTGCTGGCAGGTAGGTGTGAGGATGAAGTGGGCATTAAATGTATTGACTTGAAATGCTTAAAAAAATGGCAAGGCTCGAGTCTTGGGAAGTAGATTCTTAAGTTGCTAAAAACATTGGCAAGGGATGAGATGGATGGGTGGAGGTCTGTTAGCCAGGCACGAAAGGCTCACTCCCCAGGAAATGATTGAGGAACTCCAGAAACATTGCATCCACCTGGAGTACCCTCTGTTGGCAGAATATGACTTCCAGAAGGATTCTGTCAACCCTGATGTCAACACTGACCTAAAGCCCACAGCTGTCCTCAGACCCTATCAGGAGAAGAGCTTGTGGAAGACTGAATCAAATTCAAATGAGAATAATCCAGAAAAGGTGGTGAAACAACAGGTTGGAAACTGGATTGGGGTATAAGGAGATGCAGTAACCCTACCTCCTCATCCTGTGCATTGGAGAGAGGAGCCAAGGCAGAAACTTCCTGGGGATGAAGTTAGGGGAAGCAAGATACCAGTTCTAGGGCAGACATACCAGAAGCGCATGTTGTAATATCTGAGAATGCAGAACAGAAACCCAGGGCACAGGGCAAGAAGCTGCAGAGGAAAGACCTAGAGGGGACGTATGTTTTGGAAAAGATGTCTCTCTCTCTCTCTCTCTCTCTATCTATATATATATATAGATAGATAGATATAGATATATCTATGTATCTCTATAGATATCTATAGATATCTCTATATATAGATATAGATATATCTATATATATAGAGATATCTATATCTCTATAGATATATAGAGATACATAGATATATCTATATATAGATATCTATATATAGAGAGATACACATACAAACACATATCTATATATAGATATCTATATATAGATATATAGAGAGAGATACACACACACACACATACACACATATATACACATATATATACACACATATATACAATCATATATCGTATACAATATCACATATATATATATATGATATATGTTATCTAGTAACCCGGGTAGTGAGTTCAACCACCCACAGGAAAAGAGAATGCATAGTAGCTAGAAAAATATTTTCTAGATGGTGGGAGAAGTAGTATTAAGTCATTAGAATTTAGTTACTGATTGGAAGAAGAAATAGCCAGACCCCAACTCCAGTTACATGAGTTAAAAATAAAAATTAAAGCAAATTTTAGCTTCCTCCAAGTTAAAAAAAAGGACTGCTGTTGAAAATTACCAATACCTGGTAATGTGCATTGAAATGATCAGGCATTTTGTTTTAAGGAAGCTGCTATGGTTTGATCTCCATGAAATTGCTTTCTAGGTGATCGGGTTTGCATTTAAAATACACAGCACTCTTTGCTTTAGGGTGAGGAGAGAGAGAAGCAGTGTGTTCTCACTCAATAAATATGAGTCATGGTCCCCTTGTCTATGTATATTTGACATGCAACAGCATTAGCAAAAGATGACAGTAATCTACTGTTCTTCTGTTGCTTTCGTTACAGTAATCACGAAACAATTTTTCACCTAAATCCAGTCTGGAAAGTAAATATATTTATGAAATACCTTTATTATTTCCAGCTTTTAAGTTCAGGGATACATGTGCAAGATGTGCAGGTTTGTTACATAGGGAAATGTGGGTGATGGTTTGCTGCACAGATCATCCCATCACCCAGATATTAAGCCCAGCATCCATTAACTATTCTTCCTGACGCTCTCCCTCCTCCCACCCCTGACCCTCCAACAGGCTCTGGGGTGTGTTGTTCCCCACCATGTGTCCATGTGTTCTCATCATTTAGCTCCCACTTATAAGTCAGAACATGCAGTATTTGGTTTTCTCTTCCTGCATTAGCTTGCTAAGGATAATGGCTTCCAAAGCCATGCATGTCCCTACAAAGGACATGATCTTGTTCCTTTTATGGCTACATAATATTATGGAATACCTTTCTAACATGAAGGAAGAAAATCTAAAATGTGTATTGATTCCTTTCTTGTATGCTCTGTTCTGTATATAATGCCTGTTGCCTAGTAACTAGACTATAAGGTACCACAGGTTAAAAAAAAAAAAAAAAAAAAAAAAAAAAGCCAATTGTCTTTTCAGAACATTTCCTGCGCCAGAACATTCAACCTCAAAGCAAAATATCCAGGATAAAACTCACATACAGATTATAAGGTTGTTGTTTATTTTAAGTTAGGAAAGTGGCGGGGGGGTCTTAGGCTAATGCTTTCCATTGGGGAAATACAACAATTTAAATTTATGATAAGCTCTAATTCATAATTACTATTGTAATTTAGTGGCCTCACTTCAGCTTTGTAGCAATATGTATATAAAAATAGACCTCTTATTTATCTGCCTGTTTTTGGTACTTTTCTTCACCCTCCCCGAACCTGAAAAAACAGTAGCAGCTCAGGGAAGAGTTTGATGAGATTTCTGGGGTTGAGATTATGCTGCGATGTCTCTGCTGGTCAGCAATGGCCCTCAGGAAATGCTACTTAATGTAACTGAAGAGACATAATGCATACATAAAAGAGTAAAGCTATTGTAGTTTCTAGATTAAAAACAAACTGTGTGCTAAATTGGAACAGGTTGAGGAGCCCTGTGTCTTCTCATAGACACACTTACTTCTTCAATCCCTAACTTTAAGTTAGAATTTTCCCTGAGACGTGCATTTTTTAACTGGCATTTGATGGAACAACTAGCACAGTGTTCTTTGTCCACTGGGTCACTCATTTTTACAAGCTCATCATAGAACACCCAAAACAAACTTCATATACAGTGGTCTCCAGAAATGCAGACTGTTACAAAAATTTTTTGTTGCCCACCAGCCTGTAGAGAATATGACCAGACTGTAAAGTGAATTCAATGATTACTCATTACTTGCCCTAAAAGTAAGAGCACCAGTGGACAGACTCACACCTCAGCTTAAGCCAAGGGGAGCCTGGATGACTGACATGTGTTTATGTATTTTCTTCTTCATTATTCAAGGCCCTCTTTGGATTTCTTGCCCACCCCCTAAAAGAGAATTTTTGTTTGTTACCTCTTACCGACATTTATTTTGGCAATTTTTTTCCGAGAGTCCATCCTCATCCTCTCCCATGATGTCCACGGCTGAAAAGATCAGTGCAACGAGAATGGCAAAGCAGCACACCAGGGCAAAGATCACGATGCACTTCTGCTGGGACTGAAAGAGGAAACAAAGACAAAGAGAAGTAAGTGGTGCTGCTTTTTCTTGGGAAACTCAAGATGTGTCAACTTCTCAACATTCCATGAAAAATGGGTGGGGATATGATTATCACTGCCAGAGAAGGGAAAGCTATTCTGTAGTGAACATGCCCAAGATCTTTGTGCTTATTCCTCAACACAGCCTTCAAACCCCACTTCAAGTGCTAGACCCTGTTAAATAATTCAAGTGTAGTATCCAGGCTTCTGAATGAGTTTGCTCTTCTTCCTACTCAAAAGCAGTCCAGAAAAGATCACTATGATATCTACTGTTTCAAATGAAAAATGAAACACATATGCTGGCATCATGCTGTCAATAAAAACAGTCAAATTCTGTAAAATATTTGAAGATATTTATTCTGAGTCAAATGTGACTGACCGATGGCCCATGACAGAACCTTCAGGAGATCCTGAGACCGTGTACCCAAGGTCGTGGGCCATAACTTAGTTTTATACATTTTAGGGAGACATAAAACATCAATCAATACATGTAAAATGTATATTGGTTCAGTCCGGAAAGGCAGGACAGCTGGAAGAGGGGGGCTTCCAGGTCATAGGCAGAGTCAAAGATTTTCTGATTGGCAATTGGTTGAAAGAGTTATTATCAATAGCAAGGAATGTCTGAGTTATTATAAGGGGTTGTAGAGACCAAGGATTTATGCAGATGAAGCTTCCAGGTAGCAGTCTTCAGAGAGAATAGACTATAAATGTTTCTTAACAGACTTAGAGTCTGTTCTATCAGCAATTTCAAAGGGGAGGAGGGCACAAATGAGGCATGTCCAGCTCCCACTTCTCATCATGGCCTGAACTCATTTTTCAGATTAACTTTGGAATGCGCTTGGCTGAGAAGAGGGTTCCATTTAGATGGATGGGGGGGTTTGAATTTTATTTTTGGTTTACAATGTGTTATTTAACTGACATTGTTTACTTTAAAACTCTGAACGTAGACATAACTCTTGATATGATTTTCACTTAGAAATACAAGCTGAATGTCTAGGTGGTTAAAGTCACTCACACACATATCATTAGGCCCAAGTATTATAATTTGAGCTACTTCTCTCTCTACGGGCTCATGGCTAAAAGTGGCCGAAGACACGGCCATGAAAACTGGGCAGGAGCTGTGACCACTGCAACAAATTATTTTGCCTGCTTTCCCTCTGCTACAGTCTGAATATTTGTGCACATTCAAAATTCGTATGTTGAAACCTTAACCTCCAAGGTGATGATATTAGGAGACGGGGATTTTGGGGAGGAGATTAGGTCATGAAGGCAGAGTTCTGCCCTCATGAATGAGTCTCAGAGATGGGAATGGTGGCATGCACCTATAGTCCCAGCTAGTAAGGAGGCTGAGGTGGGAGGATTGCTTGTTTCCAGGGTTTTGAGGCTGCAGTGCACTATGACCGTGCCTATGAACAGCCACCACACTCCAGTGTGGGCATAATAGTGAGAATTTGTCTCTAAAAGGAAAAAAAAAGTCCTTAAAGAGCTTCCTTGCCCCTTCTATCATGTGGGGATACAGCAAGGTGGCACCATAGATGAAAAAGGATACGGGCCCTCACCACATGCCAAATCTACCAGCATCTTGATCTTGGATTTTCCAGCCTCCAAAACTGTGAGAAACAAATTTGTGTTGTGTATAAGCTACCCAGTTTATGATATTTTGTTACAGAAGCCCAAAAAGACCAAGATAAATTCGATAAATTCTGGATGGAGAAAGGAGGAAAAGCAATTTTGAAAGTCTATGCACAGCTTTTAAGGGTTATTTACAGAGGTGAAAGGGTCATCTTTCATCAGGCAGCCAGGCATACATCACTCTGTTAGTGATAAATATTTGTATACACACACACACACACACACACACACAGTTCAGAGCCTTTCTGAAACCAGCTGACTTTGCATTCTCTTACCACACTGCTTCACTTTATCACTAAAGCCACATGATTTTCTGAGAATCCAAGGAACCTCCCAAATTCAGAGTCCAGGTCACCTAGAGGTATCCTTAAATGACAGATTGTAGTTAGAAATAAATGTAGTCAAGTCAAAGGAATTAATGGTGTTTCTGTAACCAGGCACTATCAGCGCACACAAGTGCTTCATTTTTGTTTCAAATCCTCCTTCAGGCCTCATCTCCTATTGCAACCTCAATCCAAGTCCGTTCCTGCCTGTCATGTCTTCTTACCCCTCACTCAAACATGAAGTGATGAAAGCCAAAGAAAGATACAATCATTATTCTTTTACCCTAGACCCTGCTTATCTGTAAGACATGGATTCTGTTTCATTCTTTTCTTTTTTTTCTTTTTTTTTTTTTGCCTTTTGGGATGGAGTTTCACTATTGTTGCCCAGGCTGGAGTGCAATGGCACGATCTTGGCTCACCGCAACCTCCACCTCCCAGGCTCAAGCGATCTCCTGCCTCAGCCTCCTGAGTAGCTGGGATTACAGGCATGCACCACTACGTGCAGCTAATTTTGTATTTTTAGTAGAGACGGGGTTTCTCCATGTTGGTAGGCTGGTCTCGAACTCCCAACTTCAGATGATCAGCCCACTTCAGTCTCCCAAAGTGCTGGGATTACAGGCATGAGCCACCGTGCCCGGCACTGTTTTATTCTTTCTATCCTCAAGCCAACAGCACAACCCTAACAAATAGAAGGTGTTCAAGAAATAATTATTGTATAAATAGTGAATGAACAAAATGAAAATTACAATGGCATATAATATGGTTGGACTGTGTCCACATCCAAATCTCATCTTGAATTGTAGTTCCCATAATCCCCATGTGTCATGGGAGGGACCAGACAGGAGGTGACTGAATCTGGGGGCAGGTTTTTCTCATGCGGTTCTTGTGACAGTGAATAATCTCACGAGATCTGATGGTTTTATGAAGGGCAGTCCTCCTGCACACGCTGTCTTGCCTGTCCCATGTAAGAGGTGCCTTTGCTCCTCCTTCACTTTCCACCTTGATTGTGAGGTCTCCTCAGTCATGTGGAACTGTGAGTCCATTAAACCTCTTTCCTTTATAAATTACCCAGCCTCAGGTGTATCTTTATCAGCAGCATGAGAACAGACTAATACAGCATACTTCTGAGAATGCAGAGACACATAAAATGGTTCTTTTAAAACTCATTTGTGACCTTTTTGAAAACTGGCTTGAGTCCATATTTTGGTGATTATAAATTTTGTATTTCATCCTTTTTTACTTTCTGCTGGTGCTACAGGCAAATTCATGGGCCACATTTAGCAACTATATAAAACTTGCAGAAGAGATGTGTATTCATCTTGCCATTTTATTTTTCATCCATCCCTTATTCCTCGTCGATTTTGTTTAAAGTTTATATTTTGACAAATTATAGTTTTATAAGGTACAAAGTGATATTTTAAAAATATAGGTAGAATCATAAATTAAGCTATAAAACTGTCCATCACCTTAAATATTTGACATTTTCATGAGGAGAACATTGGGGATATATTCTCTTAATGATGTAATGTACAGTACTCAAGTATTATCTATATTCACTATGCTATGCAACAGATCTCAAAAACAAATGGATTTATTCCTCCAATCTTAGGCTTTGTACCCCTTTGCTTATCATCTCCTCATCCCCTCTACCCACCAACCTCTGGTAGCCACCATTCTACTCTCTACTTCTATAACTGCAATTGTTTTATATTCCATATATAAGTGAGAATATGTTTGGCTTTTTATGTTTGGCTTATCACTTAGCATGTGTTCTCCAATTCTATTCATGTTGGCACAAATTACAAACTTTCTTTTTTCAGGTTCAATACTATTTCATTGTAAATACATTCCACATTTTCAAAACACCTTTCATCTGTTGATGGGCACTTAGGTTAATCCCACAGCTTGGTTATTATGAATAGTGTTGCAATAAACATGGGAGTGCAGACATCTCTTCAACATACTGATTTAAAATCTTCGGGTAAATACTCAAAGGTAGAATTGCTAGATCATATGGAAAATCTAGTTTTAGTTTTTTGAGGAATCTCCATACAGTTTTCTATAATGGATACACTAATTTACATTTCTTCCAATAGTGCGTAAGTTCCCTTTTCTCTAGTCCTTGCCAATGCTAGTCTTTTGTCCTTTTCATGATAGCCATTCTAACACATGAAAGGTAACGTCTCATTGTGGTTTTAATTGGCATCTTCCTAATGATTAGTGATACCGAACTTTTTTTATGAATCTGTTACCCATTTGTATGTCTTTTTAAAAGAAATATCTATGAAAGTCCTTTACTTCTTACTCAGATTACTTGTTTTTCTTCCTATAGAGTTGAGTTTCTTATATAGTTGATTAATTTTCTATCAGATGTATGGCTTGCAAATATTTTCTCCTAATCCCTAGGTTGTATCTTCACTCTGTTAGTTCCTTTGTTTTAAAGAAGTTTTTTATTTGAATGTAATCCCATTTGTTTATTTTTGCCTTTGTTGCCTGTGCTTTCGAGGTGAAATCTAAAAAAGTTATCATCCAAGCCAATGTCATGTAGCTCTTCCCCTGTTTTAGTAGTTTCACACTTTCAGGTTTTATGTTTTTTTCATCCATTTTGAGTTGATTTTTGTATATAGTGTGAGATAAGGTCCAGTTTCTTTCTTTTGCATATGAATATCCAGTTTTCCCAATACCATTTTTTAAAGACAGTGCTCTTTTTCCATTGTGTATTCTTAGTACCTTTGTCAAAAATAAGTTGGCCACAGATGTGTGGTCAATTTGAGTGTTTTTTTAATCATGAAAGGATGTTAAATTTTGTGAAGTGTTTCTTCTGCATGTAATGTGATGATCATGACTTCTTATCTTTTGTCTATGTAGCGTATCACATTTAATAATTTCTCAATGTGGATATATCCTTGTATACCAGGGATAGATACTATTTGATCATGGTAAATGATCTTTTTCATGTGTTGTCGAATTTTGTGAGTAGTTTTTTGAGAATATTTGCATCTATATT